ATATCAGTGTATTTAGCCCAAAGATTCATGAATTGAGAGTAAAAATCAGAGATGGAGAGACTATCCTGTTTAAAATTAATTAGTTATGTCATGCTCAAGATGGAAACGACGAGCGGCATTATTTTGACTATAAATTTTCTTCAAGTAAGACCACATTGTTGCTGCAGTCTTGTAAGGACGAAGATTCAGGACAATGTTTGAATCAACGGAACCAAGGATCCAGGCCATGACTTGAGCATGAGCAACCGTCTCTGTGTCTTTGTTAGGGGCAGGAGTGCTGCCATCAACATGACCCCATAAATCTTTTCCGGTGACAAATATATGAAATTGAAATGCCCAAGCTGAGTAGTTTTTTCAGTAAGGCGAACGAACAAGACATCATATTTTTCGGAAGCCATGGAGCTCCGGAAATAGAAATCGAGAAAGCAGGATCAGGAATCTAGGACGAGGCTGAAGGAAAAAACACAAACTAGGTTGTGGGATCGTAACCTAGGCTGATACCATGTCAAAAACTAGAGAAGATTGAGTCAAAGACTGTATATTCTCCTGTTGGAGAATTCTCATATAAATACAAAGTAATTACAATTTGTCAAGCTCAACGATGGTACAGGATCTCTATGCATGAGATGGGACCGGATGCCTTCAAAGTCAAATCGCAATTTCATAAGAAATTGGTCACGTTTAGTAGTTTCATGAATTGTTTGTACGGAACTTAGACCTTTAGAAGTCAAGTTTGCATAAACTATATCAGTGTATTTAGCCCAAAGATTCATGAATTGAGAGTAAAAATCAGAGATGGAGAGACTATCCTGTTTAAAATTAATTAGTTATGTCATGCTCAAGATGGAAACGACGAGCGGCATTATTTTGACTATAAATTTTCTTCAAGTAAGACCACATTGTTGCTGCAGTCTTGTAAGGACGCACTATGGATGATATCAAATGGTTGGGTGACATGCGACTGATGTGTTGGAAAAGGTAAAATTTTACTTTTGCCAAGCTTACAAGGAATGCAATCAAAATGAATATCATTAAGAGATGGGGTGTGTTTATTTCCAAGAAAACTAGATTTGAGCATGTCATGGAGTACATTGGAGTTGGGATGCCCAAGACGCCTATGCCATACTTGATAATCAAAAATAGCAGAATTACAAGAGACTAAAGGTAAAGAAAGACTTGGAGACAACGAGAAATGGATGGCAAAAAGACGTCCAACTTTAGGCCCCTTCGCGATTATCGTCCCCGAGTGTTGATCATGCACAAGATAACCAGACTGTGAAAATTGAACTCGACAATCATTATCGACTAATTGACCAATAGAAATAAGATTACTGGTGAGACTAGGAGTGACAAAGAAATTTGTTAGAGATGAAGAAATATCACCAGTTTCTGTTATAGGCAATTGATTTCCACCAACAGTATGTATGTTGAGATTCCCCAAATATTTTTTTATATTAGTAAGGAATCGAGTATTGTTGGTCATGTGGTTGGAAGCCCCAGAATCAAAATACCACAGTGAAAAGGATTTACCTGAGAATCCCAAAGTAGAAAATGCTGAAATGATCATTTGTTGAACCATTTCAGGAGTCAAAGTTGGAACAGCAGTAGTAGCATGTTGTGGGACAGGTGCTGGATTGGCAAAACTGTTGGGAATAGAAGAATCAGTAGTGGTTGTAAAAGCTGTTGCAGTTCGCCTTGGTGGCCTTATTGGGCATTCCTTAATAATATGTCCATCCTTTTTGCAGTAGTTGCAGAATTTTTTTGGACAGGAGGAAGCATAGTGTCCAAATCGCTTGCAACTAAAACATTGAATAGCACCCATGTCATGGCGTTGTGACTTCCCTTGTGCCACGTATGCTACGGGAACAGTAGATAATCTCTGTTCTTCAATGATGGACTGTGTAAGAAGACGTTATTCTTCACGTAACAAATCGTTGAGGCACGCATTCAACGATGGTACAGGATCTCTATGCATGAGATGGGACCGGATGCCTTCAAAGTCAAATCGCAATTTCATAAGAAATTGGTCACGTTTAGTAGTTTCATGAATTGTTTGTACGGAACTTAGACCTTTAGAAGTCAAGTTTGCATAAACTATATCAGTGTATTTAGCCCAAAGATTCATGAATTGAGAGTAAAAATCAGAGATGGAGAGACTATCCTGTTTAAAATTAATTAGTTATGTCATGCTCAAGATGGAAACGACGAGCGGCATTATTTTGACTATAAATTTTCTTCAAGTAAGACCACCATGTTGCTGCAGTCTTGTAAGGACGAAGATTCAGGACAATGTTTGAATCAACGGAACCAAGGATCCAGGCCATGACTTGAGCATGAGCAACCGTCTCTGTGTCTGTATGTTGGGGTAGAGGGTGTCACATTTAAGCCATTTCGTTTGACTACTCTCCAGTACTTCGTCTATTTTTATTTTTCACTACCTCACTACAAAAAGCATGAGTTTTTGATATAAACTATTCAACCCCCCTTTATAGTGTGTATCTTTCTCCAACAATATGGCTACCAAAGAAATTTGAATTTCAAATTCCATTTGAAATTCAAATTCTTGGCGCCAATGAGAAGCCTTATGTGTGGCACCAATTTTCTTGCTCACTTGGCCTATAATTTAAGCTTTCCTCCCCCTATTGCATTCACTTTGAGTATTATATGCAAAGCATTTATTAAGATTTTATCCAAATTCACTCTACCTGAAGTCCATTTAGATGCATGGGTTCTAGGATTCCTAGAAGGGTTCTAGGTTTAGCACCTTATGAGCAATCATTTGTTCTCTTAACTTAGGTGCCTCCAAATCTAGAATCTCTAGTGTCTTCAACTTTGTTCCTTCTCTTCTCAAGTCCAAAAATCCTTTCAAGGAAAAGCTAAAGAGCTTGGAGCAAGTCAATTGAAGAATTCATCCATTATTCTTCAAGATTTGCCATCAACTTTCTCCTTGTTTCATTCAAAACAACTCATATTTTGTCACAAGTGTATATTTTCTAGACCTTTTTTACATTACTAGTAACTTCATGTGTAACTTGTAATGTGTCCCACATCTCCTTATATGATTTTCATTGAGATATTCTAAAAAATTCATCATGAGTTAATCTAGATGTTTTCCTCTCTTCTCACCTTTTTGTTCACTCATAGGAATGTATGGACCATTCTTAAGCATCCCATATAACTATCTCAATTGCTTCAATGAAAATTTCCATTCTAATTTTCTAGTACCCGTAATTTTCACCATTGAAAATAATAAGTCTATTTATTGACACTCCCTCACCATATGGAAGATTTTTACCAACCATTTTAAAAACTCTTGATTAATTTACAAGAACCAAGCTTTAGATACCAATTATTAGAAAAGATGGCTTAACCAAGAGGAGAGGGGTGAATTGGTTGCTTAAAAATTTCTCATACAACTTTCTTGGTGGTTTTGAAAAACTTCTCTAAATATTTCCAAAGAAGTATATTGATCTATAGTTGTGAATAAGATACTAAGTTCAAATTCAATGCAAGTTTGAATTCACTCAATTAAATATGCAATGTTTATGCCTCTCAACACATATCAATAACAAGCATATAAACAAAATTGCAAAAATGTAAGGTCAAGTGTAGGGAGAGACAAAAATACACAACCAATTTATATTGATTCAGCCACATCCACTTGTGACCTACATCCAATCCTCAATTAAGTCGATTGAGATTTTTCACTAATCTTTAATATAAGAAGTTTTACAATCATAATACCACATGCAATACACTTCTACATATTAAAGAAACCACTTCTTACACCTCAAGAAGCATTTACATGTAGCACCCCACTACAAGATTTTCCTTCCTTAAGAAACCTACTTAAGAAAAACAAAATATAGAAGTTAAGGAATAAATTCACCTGATCTACAAAATAAATCAGAGTAGGTGAATTAACCAAAGTAGCATATCCTTTCACTCCATGAATATGATGAGCAATTCAATTCTTGAAATTTTTCTTGAGGTTACCACAGAGGTTATAAAACCTCTTCATGTAAAGGAAAACATTTATCAAAGAGTGTTTTTGAAAAAGATATCACGAAGATCCAAGTCTCTCTATTCTAAATGTGAAAAATGGTATATATAAGTTTTCTGACAAAAATAATCGATTATTTACATGGATAATCAATTACTTTGTTCTTGGTAGATACGACAATCAACCAATAATAGTTTAATCGATTATTTTGAACAATAATTGATTATTTTGCTAAATAATCAATTATTTACAATAACTGCTCCTCGTGTTACTGAAAAATAGAGCAAACAACTGATTATTACTTAAGATAATCGATTATTTTAAGTGAGAATTTAATATCTCAATTTTTCATACCATTTTTATAAATCAATTTTAAAAATTATTTTCTTTATCAATAATCATCTAGATAGGATTCTAATGCTAAGTTACTTACCAAGCACAAAACACACAAGTAAAAAAACTCTAAACACAAAACAAAATACAAGTTGCATTGTTTTCCTTTCAAGAAACTTATTTGTAATCATTGAAACCAACTAAAACCATGTCTTCATCTTGAGCTTGATCAACATTATATTATATCATGACTTGCTTAATATGAATGATGAATGAATGTATGGAAATGGTTGTTGTGGATGTATTGAAGTATGCTTACATGTGTGTGAGATGTTATTAATGTTGTAGATGTGTGTGTCTATATATCTTTGTGCTTTATATATGTTGTGTATGGATGAGATGTATTCTCACTCCTTATGTTGTGTTGCTTGTGTTTTGGTTGATCACTATTTGTAGGAATAAGTCAGTTAGCTCTAATGGAAACATTAATAAGTCATTGATTTTAGTAAAATAACAATAAATAAAAAAATAACAAATTCTAACAAAAACGACTATGAAAAAAAAAATAGAGGGAGTATATTTTTACGCAAAAGAACTAATCCTTTTATTAAAGTATTATTATGAATGATGATAATATATCTTCTGTGTCATCGTATGTATTCTCAATAAATCACGACAATAAAAGGTACAATTTTATATGTAAAACATACAACAACCAATCACTACTTTGTGCAATCTGTGCGCTTAAAGGAGACTGTTTTCTTTTGGAGGTCGTAGCCAATCAAGAAGCTTTGTTGAGCCAAGTTCCCAAAGACAGCACCTGATTGAGTTGGCTGGAAAGCCAAACATACTACCTCATCGGCCACTTGAGTAAAGGTGTTGATAGAATTTAACCCAACATCTGCACCCTTGAAATTTGCAGTGATCTTTGGTGCATTTAGCTTATCCAATGTAGCTTTATAGCAAAGGCTAAATAATTTAGTTGGATCCTGAACGCGCTTTAATTTAACCACTTGTACTACTGCTGATTCAAACTTTGAGTAAACATCAGGTGGCAAAAAAGTGAGGGTTGTACCTGAGTCAATTACGATGTTTCCCTCAACACTAGGTCTAGATGAAGGGCTTTTAAACTCTATTCTTTTGCTTTCAACACTCAATGCTTCTATGGTTAGGAAGTAAAATACTTGTCCTTGACGTAGAACTAATGGGGTTGAGACAGTCCCAACCCCAGAAACCTCAGCAGCATCTCCAAAATTGAGTTTGCTTGATGAGTTAGATTGTGAAAGCATTGGTACTAAACAATGAGAAAATTTTCCACGTATTGAAGAGCTCAATTGAGATATAAGGGACACAGGTCCATTACCTAGGCCAACTATGCCAGAGTTCTTCTCTTGAAAGGAAACTGAATTGTTATGTCCACATCCTATCACAGTTTTAGGAAATTGGATAGAAGAGCCACTAGTGGAGCCTAATGTGAGGGTTTCCACACTAAGATCTCCATGGGAGTATGCGCCACTCGCATAACCAATATTATATTCACAAGTTTTCTTATTGGAGCAAGACGCACCTTGCACAGAAAGACATGTTTTGGAACATGGGAGGGTTTCGAATGTTTTGGACTTGGAAGGATTGAATAATGGAACGGTTTGTTTGTAGCAAGCTTTACATGGTTGGCATTGTAGCCAAATAATGTCACTACCCGTGTCAACAATACCAAAGAGTTGGAATGGTGGGGTTCCAATTGAATAGCTCACAAGGTATTCACCAAAATCTGGTGTGATAATGGCATTGGGTGTATTGGTCCGTTTGATGGAGCGGCGCACAGCATTGGCAACTCGTTGGAATTGAGTTTCTGTTGGACGGTAGAATGGTGATCTTGACGAGTCACGGTGGATGATCTCCAAACTAAATCCATCATTAAGAGCCTCTAAGAAAGTAAGGTTGTAAAGACATAATAAAACAACAAGATATGAAGAGCGTGACATCGTTGAGATTACTCAAATTCTCAATAAACCTCTCAAATTATTCAATTTGTAATTTTTCAACGTTTTTATTGGCTTTTTATAAGATTCTAATGATGCAAGTTGTAATAACCTCAACACATTAGAATAAGATGAATCTAAAGATTTACACAGCTGTAAAATTGTATCAGTTTAAGATAATTTAAATGATATAATTAGTATTACTTATATTAACAATATATATTTATCTATTTTTTTTATAATTCATTAGTTAAGAATTTCATAATTAAACATGTGAATGAGAATAAAGTCAAATTTATTCGCCTAATCAAGATTATTTTTTTTATGATGTGATTTAAAAAATCATTTAAATCTTGAGGTATCTTAGTTTATAGATTTTTTTCTTAATTAAGGAAACAACAATTAATGATAGTACTATTTTGTATTTATAGATATTGATAAAATTTGACTAATTAAATGTTTGACTAATGTCTTTTCAATGTTCCAAAATAATAAAATTAAAATAGTATAAGAATTTTTTTTATTAAATATAATGTAACATAATAATTTTGTACAAATCTAATTCTGAAATAAAACATTGAAATTAATATTTAATGATGAGATGTCTCCTATCCATTAGGTCAGTTTAGTGGTAAGAGATTTTGATAATTTGTTCGAGATACTAAATTTAAAGCCTCATTATTGTCATTATACACCATAAAAAAAGATGAGATTCCTCTTTTCAACAATAAAAATAGATACATCAACATAAAAATAAAGGACTCTATAAGCGGACCATCAACGATTATTCCATATTTTATTTTAACGTATAATATGTTTATTATATATATATATATATATATATATATAT